GCGCGTCGCGCCCGGCAGGCCGTTGACCGGGGTGAGGCCCATCGAGGTGTCGAGGGACTGGCCGTGCTGGATGCAGCAGGCCGATGCACCGGATCCAAGGTGCAGGACGATGAGGTTGAGGGAGGCGGCCGGCTGGGGTGCGGTCAGCGAAGGAAATGGCAAGAAGGAGATGGGATGTACCTTCTGAAGAAAGTGCGAGACCGAACGCAGAATGAAGGAGTCTGGAATTCCTGTCAGCTGGAGGATACAGAGTAGCATCAAGCGTACAGCTCAGCCCATGAAATCCATACTTCTTCAGCCCACGCTCTTTTGCAATCTTCTGGTCAATGGGGTAGCTGGATATATGCGGTGGGATCGACCGATGGAACGCCGTGTCGAAAAACGCAATCGACTTGGCGTTTGGGAGTCGGGAAAGACAGGTCTTGATCACAGCAAGAGACGCGCCGTTATGGCTGGATACCAGATAAATGCATTGAAAGGGACTAAAAGTAAATGGGTTACAGAGGTGCGAGGTCCGACAGGCGCTCGATGTGTCCATACGCCTCGTCGTTGATCACCACTGGGTCAGTATAGTCGCCCCCGTGAACGACGCGATGGCAAACGTTGGAGATTTCGCCAATGTTTGCTTCGTGCCCTAAACAGTCGAGGAAATGGTCGAACGCCGAAGCATGGTCGTGAATGGACGACGGTTCTTCGTTCTTGGTGGCGCCTCCTTGGACCTTGAACGAGAATTTCGCAGGAGGGGCAGAGATGTTGGAGATTGAGGACGTGAGCATCAATTGGACTGGCTCAGAGTTATCGCCTGGCACGACGCGATAAAGTGAGATTTTGAGAGATGAAGAGCCTGCATTGACAGAGAGCACAAGATTGGCGGACATTGGCTACTGAAGGATCCAGCGACACGCAGAGCATACTAAAGGTATATTGCCTGGGAATGACGTTGGAACATACGCAATCCAGGCTGTTCTATTCATAGAATGGTGGCGTAGGTCTAGGACGGGTCTCAAAATGCTGGCCGACGATAGCTTTGAGGGAGAATTGAGAGGAAAACGCCATCTCTTGAAAGAAAGAGCTCAGTACATAGTCAAAGAGGTGGAAGCAAACAAGGTTCAAGTCGCTCATGTTTTGGTTTGCTGACCCCGCTCCAACCTCGCTCCACATCAGTCCAAATCTATGATGTCTCAATGACCAGCCTAGAGGTGTCTGAGCTCTAGGTTCTCAGTGAGTCTGGGCTCTGAGGCCGTATCACGCGCTATTCTTAGGCTATTCCTAAATTATTCCAACTTCGTATAAAAGCGGGTGTATGGCATCCCAATGGTCAATAATTTCTCCGCGCTCCAACCACGATGCCTGGCCAAATCCTACTCCAAGCTAACCCTCCCGCGGACCCGTCGCTGTTGCCCGACTCCATGCTGCAGTTCAGTGTCCAATTGGATACCAAGAACTACCTCTCGGCAGATGAGCTCAAATCCATGAAGATGTTCCGTAGGGCAGCAGATTATATTGCAGCGGGTAAGAGCACCTTATTATTATCTTCCATCGTTGACCCGCGCCCACAGCAATGATATTTCTCAACCACGATGTGCTTGTAGAACGCGACATAACCCATGACGACATCAAGTCGCGTCTCCTCGGCCACTGGGGAACGTGTCCTGGCCTTGTTATGGTCTACGCGCACCTTAACCGGCTCATTTCTAAAACCGGTCTTGATGCGTTGTATGTTGTAGGACCAGGTCAGTATGATTTTCCCTGCTTTATATTCACCGCTTAATATGTTATCGACTAGGTCACGGTGCCCCTGCTATTCTGTCTTGCCTCTGGCTCGAGGATTCCCTCGGCACTTTCTACCCCGAGAACTCCCGCGACTACAAGGGCCTGCATAAACTTATCGCAAGCTTCAGTGTGCCAGGCGGCTTTCCCAGGTTAGAATCGGCTTTGTTTTGTGTATAAACCCCCCGTTGACCTTACTACAGCCACATTAACGCTGGAACACCCGGCGCGATTCATGAAGGTGGGGAACTTGGCTATGCACTCAGCGTCAGTTTTGGTGCCGTCATGGACAACCCAGATCTCGTCGTCGCCTGCGTAGTCGGCGACGGAGAGGCCGAGACTGGGCCCACGGCGACTGCGTGGCATGGCTTCAAGTACATCGACCCCGCAGAGTCCGGCGCAGTGCTGCCGATTGTGCATGTCAACGGATTCAAGATCTCCGAACGTACCATTTACGGTACCATGGACAACAAGGAGATAACCGCGCTCTTCACGTATGATTTGTCCATTCATCCATCTTTCATTGTCTGACCTTTTCTTTCAGCGGTTACGGATATCAAGTCCGCATTGTCGAGGACGTTGAGAACATTGACAACGACCTCGCCGCGTCTATGGACTGGGCCCTCACGGAGATCAAGAAAATCCAGACCGCCGCCCGCAGCGGTCAACCCATCGTCAAGCCCCGCTGGCCCGTGTTGATCTTGCGCACGCCCAAAGGACTCGGCGGGCCCAAAGCGTTGCACGACGAGCTCATCGAAGGGTCGTTCCACTCCCACCAAGTTCCGCTCCCAGGCGCGAAAACCTCCGCGGAGGAGCTCGCCGGGCTGCAGGCGTGGCTCAAGTCCTACCGCCCCGAGGAGCTGTTCACGGCCGACGGCGTGCCTGTGCCGGAGGTCCTCAGCATTGTGCCCGAGGCCGCGGAGAAGCGGCTCGGGCAGAAAAAAGAGGCCTTCCGCGCATACACCCCGCTGACGATCCCAGATTGGACGGGATTCTGTGCTGAGCAGGGCACGCAAGAGAGCTGCATGAAGGCGGTGGGCCGTCTCCTCAAGGGCGTTGTGAAAGAGTGCGTTGTCAAACAACTCTGCTATGCTTTGACTACATCTCGCCTACAGAAACCCCCAAAGCTTCCGGATCTTCTCGCCGGACGAGCTCGTTTCCAACAAGCTGGACGCGGTGCTCGACGACAGCTCTCGCAATTTCCAATGGGACATTGAGTCGCGCGCCAAAGGCGGACGTGTGATTGAAATTCTATCGGAGCATACTTGCCAGGGTATGCTTCAGGGCTACACCCTCACAGGCCGAACGGGTTTGTCGTCTTCCGACTTACCTGCCTGCCATTCTGACGCTGTCATTAGGTCTGTTCCCCAGCTACGAAGCATTCCTTGGTTTGTCTCTTCCTCTCTGTTCGATGCATAACCTGATTGTCTTTTAGGAATCATACAAACTATGATGGTGCAGTACAGCAAATTCACAAAGATGGTGCGTCGCCTCGTTTTCTGTCTTTCCTGCAGTTCTAAGGCGTTCACAGTCGGCGGAGATTCCCTGGCGTCAGCCTTGCGGATCGCTCAACTACCTCGAGACGTCTACCTGGGCGCGCCAAGAACATAACGGTTTCTCTCACCAAAACCCGTGAGTGTTTCTTAGCATCGTTCATCCTCATCATGCCGACAACCGCCTCAGAGCCTTCATCGGCGCCGTCCTCAATCTCAAACCCATCCTTGCACGTGTCTACCTCCCACCAGACGCCAACTGCTTCCTGTCCACGATGGCGCACTGTCTGCGGGCCAAGCACTATGTGAATCTCATGGTAGGCAGCAAGCAGCCCACGCCGGTGTGGCTATCGCCAGAGGACGCGGACGCGGTATGCATTGCCTTGTATCCACCGCCGAGACGACATTGATGCCCTGTCCTAGCACTGTATCGCCGGCGCCTCCGTCTGGAAATTCGCGAGCGTCGATGATGGTGTCAACCCCGACGTGTGAGTATTGTGCACCCAAGTCTCTTCCTCGCTAATGTTTACCATTACCAGCGTCCTTGTCGGCATCGGCGTCGAAGTCACCTTTGAAGTCATCGCCGCCGCTGCCCTCCTGCGCAAACGCGTTCCCGAGCTGCGCGTGCGCGTCGTGAACGTCACCGATCTTATGATCCTGAGCGCGACTGGCTCCCACCCGCATGCCCTCAGCGACGAGGCGTTCGACTCGCTTTTCACGGCCGACAAGCCGATCCACTTCAACTACCACGGGTACCCGATTGAGCTCAAGGGCCTGCTCTTCGGGCGCCCGAAGCTCGAAAGAGTGTCTATCGAGGGGTGCATCGTTCGTTGCGCTCTCATCAATTTGTTTATTAATTGCCGTATAGGTATCGTGAGGAGGGTACCACAACCTCACCATTTGATGTATGTTTCAATGCACGTATTTCGGCGCAAGTCCCTAATTCTCTTGCAGATGATGCTCTGCAATCACACCTCGCGGTACGACGTCGCCGCCGCCGCTGTCCGGGGCGGCGCCCTCTCGAATCCCAAGGTTGCGGTCACCGCGCACGAGCACGAGTCATTCATCAAGCATCTTGCGATAAAGGAGAAGGAGTACATCTATGCCAACGGCAAGGGTGCGTCGTTGTCTTTTCGCTACTCGACAGTTGGGCTAATCGACGACTGGCAGATCATGATAATACGTTTGACACCCCCACTTTCTGAGCTTTGGAGAATGACAGAGAAAGAGAAGATGTATGTTAACTATGCAATTTCCCAACTTTCGGGTGCTACTGTAGATTATGAATGTAACAATGCAATTTCTCACTTTCGGCACTCTGGTGGAGACGTGCGACGATTGAGCACAAAGTATGGTCCTTGCTCGCGGCATATGTATGAAGGGAGTTAATCGATATTAGTATGAGATTTTGGAGACAACCGAAGCCAACATTTACCATATTCACCCTAGTTTGTCCAGTTGAACGTCCCCCTTTCGAGTTGGTGCAATTTTACCAATTTGATGAACCCCTTTCGACTTGGTGCAATTTCACTGACGTGATCGCACCCACCTAGCCTTCGCTGCGCTCAAAAACAGTGCTAAAAAAGAACGGCCATGTTGGGATTCGAACCCACAGTCTTCGTTGAATCGACATAAATTCGAACATTGAAAAAAATGTTGAAACTTGATCGCTCCGCTCAAAAACAGTTCCCCGCCCTTTCCCGGCTCAAAAACAGTGCGCAAAAGGCGAAAAAGAATCGACCATGGTGGGACTCGAACCCACAGTCTCTGCCTACGTATTTTACGTAATCTGAGATTACGTAAACATCGGAAAGCAACGCAGTAACCATTTTGCCACACGGCCTTGATGACAGCGCCGTCCAACTAATCATTTTGATGCTGGGCACACCTCCTGAGGTTTCCACTGAATTAACCTGGATTGAAATCTTCACTCCCCTCCTCAAATACCTGGCTGCCGATGGCTCACTGAGCTAATAGGGTTCACTCCAACCAAACGTCTTCAAATTCAATGTTCAGACATTGAAAATGATCAACTCAATTCGGAACCTCCGAGCGCAAGTGTCTCCCCCATTTGCGTATACTCAGTACGGTCCCAAGTAGTGTTGGGAAAGTTCGGTTCAGTTCGGTTCAGAGGCTTTTTTCCCGAACCCCGAACCTGAACTTTGGTTCAGGTTCAGACATTTGCCGAACCTTGAACCTGAACTCGAGTTCAGGTTCGGTTCAGGTTCGAACTCGGTTCGAACCCTGATTTTGTCCCCGCCCAAAAATGTCAAATTTTGTCAAATTTTGAGAGAAGGAAAGCAAAAATCAGAACTGTGTGTATACCGGCCTTGTCATTTGCTCATCTCCCATGGTCATTCAAGCCATCCAGACCACTAGAATCATAATCCAGAGCAGCTGTCAATCACGTGTTGAGGCCTTATTCCAATCAAACATGTAATGTACAACACTCAACAGCTATTTGTACCCAATGTGCACTCGGAAATGGTTATACCATGTTATACCATTGAAGTTGTGAAGTCATGGCAACTGAAATGCACCCCAAGATGACTGAAATCACTCAGAAAAATGGTATTTCGGTTCGGGGTTCAGTTCAGTTCAGCAGAAAATATTTTGGCCTGAACCCTGAACCTGAACTTCGGTTCAGGTTCAGGGATTTGCTGAACCTTGAACCTGAACTTCGTGTTCAGTTCGGTTCGGTTCGAGTTCGAACCGAAAGTCTGAACCGAACTTTCCCATCACTAGTCCCAAGGCGCATGGACTTGAGGTTCTTCCCACCGTCATCTATTTTCTGGGACCGCCAGGGCAAGCCAGGAACGATGCGCACCTAAAGTGTTCCAGCTGGAAGCCGGAGCTTGTCACATCGTAATAACTACATCGCTGACGTGAATCCCCTCGTTTTTTGCCTTGCTTTCTCCGTGAACCACTGACGAGGTTCATGTAAGTCAAATGTAAGTATTTCCGTTGTGCCTTGACATCTATGTAGATCCATTTAACCGGTCCCTTAGACTCATATCTATCTTGATATTCGTCTTGCTCGCTTCGTCGAAAATCTTCTCAAGCATTAAGCAAAAATTCGGTGATGTACCAACCGCGCAAATACCTTGGTTCTTGGATTTGTAGTATGGAAACTTTCTGCGTCCTCCAATTTTCTTCCTGCGGCATTGTTAACCACATTGTAAGTTCGGCGACGTTGAAGTCTGTTTCCGATCGGGTCCGATCTGAGCTCGCAACAAAAGCCATCGCTGCTGCTTTGACCTGGTAGGTCGGAGCTTATAGTACGATGACTTCCCCTCAGAAAATATGAGTTGGTGATTGCTGGTATGACGTCGGCCGACTTCGACTCTGACGTCCACAGGTGGAGCCCGAGTTGCCCGACAATGCGAGATCGGTTCTCCCTTGGTTGTCCCCGAAGGGAGGCAATGTAGAGTTTAAATGACTGGTTTGAAGGGGACCGCGGTACGTCATATCTTGAGGGGGAAGTTGAAAAAAGTACTGTTGAAATCCTTGAAAAAGGAGAATGCAGCTCATTGGATTTATTACACGCACAGACAATATGAGCTATCGTCTTCACGCTACAAACAATGAGGCGCCCAGAGTCATTTGTGATCACCAGCCTCGGGGAGGTAGCCGATCCGTCGCCGGCGGAGGCAGCGGATGTATTGAAATCGGGTGGATACGTCAGGGGTGGCCAGTTAAGTTGCCCGAGGAGGGAAAGAGGATATGACCTTGAAGCGTTGATGGACGGGTCAGATTCGAAGGCTCGCGGGAGCCCGGCAAGGAGCGGGAACGGTGCCGAATGGATCGGGTTCCGACTCCCGAGGCGGGAGGGATATAAAGGGCTTTACCACAAAGATGAAGTGACGAAGTAAGTCTCGAAACGGGAGAAGAAACGCAATAAATACGAGAAGGCAAGGTCATGGCCTGTGTGCAATTAAAACACTAGACCAATAATAATGCAAAACTAGTTGCTTTCCCCGTTTTCTATCGACGCAGGTTGTTAGTATCGTCGGTAGATCTATAAAACTTTTAATATGGTCTCGGATTTAGTATGGTCCAGGCCCATGGCTCGAATGGGGTAGAGCTCAAACGGCGGAAATAAAGGATTCTTATCCCGAGGCAAAATTCCCAGCAGTAGCACAAGTGAGTGGTCGCAGACTGTCGAAATTACGAATTTCTGCCAGAGTGTTCTTCAGACTCCAAGGAGTAGTGAATGAGCTCCGAGTCGGTTAGGCCATTCAACGCAGCAGAATAAATGCATTCGAATGTGGTCGTTTTGTAGGGTTCGGACGTCTAAAGCAGGGTGGAGTGTTGGGCTGTAGGTTATGAATACTGTAAGGAGAAAGAGACCGAGTTGAGGCCGAGGCTTCTACTTCGGCCGCCATGAGCCGACTCGCCGGAGTGATCCTTTTCAATCGATCAATTCAATTTTCCTTCATGCCACCTAGCCTCAGCGAGCTGGTCGCACTTGTTTTGGACGGGATCCATATATATCGGCGCCCTGGAGTCACCGCCTCTTTCGCTGCTCGCCAGCCGCGGTTCATTCGGATTCGGCCGCGTGGTACCTCCCGATCTTAATAAACCAGATGCGGGCAAGTCGCGCGCTCGCTTACAACGGAGGAAACTGCCCACAGATGCTTTTCGTACATTCCCCGTGGTTTGGAATCGCCTTGCCGTACACGTATCGTTCTTGGAGGAGTGCACCGCACCTCTCGCCGACGTCATGAACCTGCCACAGTCTATCTTCGTTGCAAGGCTGCTCATTACTCTGGCATGCTCCTGTTTCTAATATGGTATGCGCCTTGCTCTCATTACCTTGCAGCTAAAGAGAGGCTTAGAGAGTCTCTTCAACTCCGCTCAAGAAGGATTCGCATGATCGCGCCCTCTTTCCGTCATCATTGAGTACCATTTTGCCGACATCGCGCTCTCTCTCCTATCGGCGCGGGCGACCTCGTAATGAGCGCTTCGCAATCCTGAACGTTTTGCTGGATCTACTTTCGTTCCGAGGCTTAATTCGGGTCCAATGGATCCCGTGGATCGTTCCGGGACGTGTGGAGTAACGTTGGTAGTGGGTCACTTCAACTCGGCGAAGTATGCTCGACCGAGCTTGAATCAGCACTTTGCTTCGGAAGCCGAGGGCGTGTTACCCCGACGCCGGAGAAGTTTACATATTTATAGGCCGCAAAAGGTTGAAACCGACATCAAGTTAATCCCTCTCGCCCCAGAATGCTCACTTCTCTTTCATCCCTTGCGCCTGAATTTAAACATGCTCTACTCAGCGTTGCATGCGCCGGGCTGGTGTGTTTGATTTTTACAACCTAATTCATGACCCATCCTTACACATTTGCAGACATGTCATTTGACATTCAACCGGCTGGAACCACGAACCCTGCTTCATTTCGCGCTTCTCCTTATCCTACCCCCCTCTCTGTTGACGGTTGTGGTTCTCCCCCACATGTCGGGCATCTTGTCTGCTGCTCCATTGACATTTGCTGTCTACATTTCATCTCTCGTGACATCCATCGTGGTTTACCGCCTTTCACCCCTTCATCCACTCGCAAAATATCCTGGACCAATGCTCTGCAAGGTCTCCAAGCTGTGGTTTGCCGGAATAGCCATGAGTGGGAAACAACATCTTTATTATGCCGAGTTACACAAGCGTTTTGGTGACGTCGTCCGGATAGGTGAGCTACACTAAATTTCAAGGTGTGATGTATCTAATCTGCGATTTAGGCCCCAATGAGCTTTCATTTCGTGATGTTAACGCCATTGTCCCGATGATGGGATCCAAAGGAATGCCGAAAGGGCCATGTAAGTATTGATTCCGTGACGGTTTTCCACTTAAACTCAACCATATTATCTACAGGGTGGGATGGGCGTGTTCCAGAGAATCGGGAAGTAAGACCGCTCTTAGCGTTGCGAGATCCCGAGGAGCACGCTCGTAGGCGGCGAGCTTGGAACAGAGCCTTCAGCACCCCGGCACTCAAGGACTACGAAGCTCTGATCGACGCCAGGATCTCGCAGCTTGTAGACATTTTGAACACCAAATTAAACACCTCTGTTGATCTATCGAAATGGCTAGGTTGGCTCACGTATGCCTTATTTTTATTTATTTCCCGCGATAACACACTCATGAGCATCTGAAAGGTACGACATAATGAATGACGTGATGTGCGTTGAACTATTCTCGTGGAAATTAAACACCAATAATTGACTTCCGTCTCAGGTTCAGCGGCGGTGGAGATTCGATGGAACGCTCCACCAACGATGAAGAGGATGAGACATTTCGCCTTTTAGGAAGTGCGCAACCGTGAGTAGTATTGTACTTGCGTCGGTTCTAGATTTAAGGGTTTGGGTTTAGAATGGCCTTGGCAATGAGTCATCTCCCTTGGCTAGGAGAGCTTTACTTGTGGCTTCCTGGAATGGGCCAGGGTCTGCGCGCGTTTCGGCAATATGCGCGCACACGCGCATCGGAGCGTCAGGCCCGCGGCTCCCATCACAAAGACGTCTTTTACCACCTGGTATTGATAAACTTTTTGGGTCTAAAGCTTTTGCTCATCGAACTTTAGATTGATGAGGCAGGTCTTGAACCGATCCCTCCCTCAAGCGCACAGATTCTTTCCGATGGCGGGCTCGCGATTATCGCCGGTGCCGAAACAACGTCGACAACCCTCGCTCATATAATTTGGTTCCTTCTCTGTAACCCTACTGCATATCGCCGACTCCAAGCCGAAGTGGACGATCCAAGAAAGAACACCTGGGTTTCTGCTTCCCAAGCTCGTATGCCGTACTTGAACGCCGTTATGTGCGCTCTCATCCCGATTTCATTTGAGAAAATGGATG